TGTACGATACAGTCAACAGCACACAGAGTGGCGGCAAGCAAGAGCAACCTGTGCAAGTACCCAGAGTCAACAACATCACCATAGCAACCATCACAGGTCTGACGAAGGGGACGGAATATGAATTCCGAGTGAAAGGATCCAACGGCCCTTACCAGACACCTCTGTCAAGTCCACTTCGGGTGATGACTAATAGCTCAGGTTAGTCCTGCTATTGCTACTGCATATACATGTGTTCTTATCTACTGTAGTGGACATTGAAATCTGTTGGGAAGTCAAGCGACCACAGGGTGCTGGTCTTGCAGCCGCGAACACAGTCGGTTCATTTTTACAGTGTGTACAGGCAACTTCGCTTATAACGACACTCGGCGGGGCATCAAAAAAGTGTCCTTATTCGCGAAGTGTTGTTATATGTATTACAGTTGGGAGGGACTTTGCTCTGGGCATGGAAATGCTGTCGTTATTCGCGAATTGTCGTTATATCCGCAGTCGTTATTAGCGAAGTTGACTGTACGTGCACTACAGTGCATGTACTCGCTAAAAGCAGTAAGGGCGCTGGCCCTGGTCATCCCATCGGATTTCAATCAGTCCACGACAGTAGCTAGTCTACCGGGTACCGTGTGTAATTTGTGTCAGTTGTGTGTCGCGAGGAGCAACAACCTTGCATATTTAGTATTCTTTACTGATAATGTGTGTGTGTGTGTGTGTGTGTGTGTGTGTGTGTGTGTGTGTGTGTGTGCGTGTGCGTGCGTGCGTGTGTGTGTGTATGGTACAGTCCCAGGTAACTACAGCTCGCTGAGCATTGCTGCCATCGGACATAACTTTCTTCTTCTGGAGCTAGGTAGCATTGATGATGGCGGCTCACCACTAACAAAGCTCATTCTGCACCGCCGAACATCTAGATTTGGTGTTGAGAGTGGTGAATGGTTATTGCACTCCACCATCCTATCTCCTGGTGAAGCCAGCCACGTCATGGTTAGTGACCTGAGGGAGAACGCAACGTACCGCTTCCGTCTTAATGTGCACAACCAGAACGGTAAAGGCAGACCGGCAAGCTTCACTGACCTCATCACAACACTGGTACAGGGTAAGTGCTAGGTAGAACACCACCATGACTGGTGTTGTCTATTTCTCCTCTGCGCCACATGTTCTCACTTGCCTTTTGCATTAGCGTTGGCTGTCTCTTGCTGTCACTACTTGTCCTCCTCCTCCTCCTCCTCCTCCTCCTCCTCCTCCTCCTCCTCCACCTCCTCCTCCTCCTCCTCCTCCTCCTCCTCCTCCTCCTCCTCCTCCTCCTCCTCCTCCTCCTCCTCCTCCTCCTCCTCCTCCTCCTCTTCCTCCTCCTGTTTCTGCTCCTTCTCCCCCTTACCTTTATCTTTCTCTGACAGTTGCTTGCTGCATGACCTGCTGGTGACGTTGCTCATTTCTGTCTGGGTACCTGCATGCCTTTTTACCATGCACTTCAATTACCCACTACTGTGTACACTTGAGCACACACAGATGCACTGTCATCATGCACAGCACCTTTTTTTTCATGGTTCGACCAGTTGGGCAGCAATTCCCAACACACTCGTATCTCTCTTGGGCAGTCTGGCACCAGGCACTGTTCATAGCTTTGAAATGTCCATAACTCTGATTCGAAGTGTGTTTCAATTGGGGATGGGCCAGAGATCTGGCATACGACCTCACTATTTCCACAAAATGGCAAAAGAGTCGTAATATTTCCACTAAAACTCGCCCGCAGGGACAGTACCCGTTAGACTGATGTCCAGATAGTTTGAAGTAAGAGAGATATGAATGCACCATTAATGCCTTCAAGTGCCCTGTTGATCATTTGATACTGCTACTTTTTTGTTTCTGTGCACTATGTAGAAGATGTCAGTGACGTTGCCAATGTCTCCTTTACCAAAGTCAGCCCGTTCTCGTTTCACGTGCACTGGCCGTCAGCCGAGTGCCCCACTAGACGCTCGCCAGTGGACGAGCGTTTCCGCACGATGCGGAGCGAGTATGGCGTGTGTACCCATGACGATGTGCTGAATGCGGTCCGGCCGGTGCTGGGCTACGCTGTACAGTACAGACTCAAAGGTATGACTTTGTGTACATGTACGGTGTGTGTGTGTGTGTGTGTGTGTGTGTGTGTGTGTGTGTGTATGTGTGTGTGTGTGTGTGTGTGTGTGTGTGTGTGTGTGTGTGTGTTTTTGCTGTTTGCTTACTGATGGATTCCTAAAGGGGGTAGTATAGAGGGGAAGATAGTACATGAATGAGCGTGCGTGCATGTGTCTACATTCTATGTGATGTATGCTGGAATACAGACCAGAGAATTTCTAGATTTTGTAGCCGGAAGTACATGTGCTCATAGTCAGCTGTTTCGCTTTCACTTCATTCATTCCTCCTCTAGGTCCTCCTCTTCGTTTCGTGCTCTGTGTTGGCGTTGTGTTCACTGGTTGTTTCTCCCTCATTGTTGTCCCTCTGCTTCTTTATCTGTTCACCAATGCGTCACCACCCTCCCCTTATAATGTTTGCCTCTGGTTGTCACGTACACACACGCATACACACACACACACACACACACGTACACACCACGCACACCTGCACAGGTTCGTCAAAGTGGCTAGTGTCAGCCGCAGACCCCGCCGTTCTAACGAGTGCTGGCAGCAGTCTTGATCACATGATCGGTCAGCTGCTAGAGGACACAGAGTATGAAGTGAGAGTGCTGGCACGGGATATCTATGGACCCAGTCCAGGCATGGAGGTATTCACTGTCAGGACACACAAGGGTAAGTTTGTAACGCCGGATTGGCTTGCCTGCTGACGTGTGCTGTACACTACTAGTACGTACTGTTGGGTCGTGTCTAAATACTACTCACCCCATTGCTTTGTGTTTGTGTGTGTGTGTGTGTGTGTGTGTGTGTGTGTGTGTGTACGTGGGCGCACACAATGTGAATTACCTGTGTTCTCATTTGTACATCTACCCGTGTGTATACATGTTGTGTGTTACAGGCA